AGGCAAGTGTAGTCCAGAAACTGAATTATAGAATATCAGAGGACATTTGTTAGACCTCAGCTAGAGTATTATGTACAGTTCTGGGTGTTACATTATAGGAAGGACGTGAATGCTTGGGAGGAAAATGCTTCCAGAGATGTGGACCTTTAATTATGAACATAGATTGAAGAAGTTGGGATTGTTCTCCTTGGAGAGAAGACGACTCAGGAGATTTGATAGAGGTTTTCAAAACCATGAAGCAGGCTGGGTAGGGAGAAGCTGTACCCGTTCCTAAAAGGAACAAAAGAGTGTATAGATTTCAAGTGAAATTCAAAAGAAGCAAGGATAAAGTGAGAAAAAGCTTTTTCACTAGGTAGATGGTTAGGGTATGCAGTAACAGGAAATGTGGTGAAGGCAGGTGCAATTGAGGTATTCAAGAGGGCATTGGATGATTATTTGGATAATAAATAACGTGCAAGGGTATGGGGCAAAAAGAGAGTGGCACTAGGTAATGATGAAAACAAAAAAAGTGCTAGAGAAAATCAGGATTGGCTTCATCTGTGGAGAGAAAATAGTTAATATTTTGAATTAGTGACTCTCCGTTAGAACCAGGTAATGATTCTCATTTAATGAGCTGGTGCTGGCATGATGGTCAGCTGTGGCCTCCTGCGCTGTGACACATTGCTGGTATTTCTGTTGGAATGAAGGGTGAAGGTCACAATGTGTGCAGAATTGATCTTCAGAGTAAAACATGAGTGAGAAATTTAGAGATCATAAGATCAAGAGCTGGCAAAGAAAAGACCTTAGACTCAGCAGAGTGAATCTCTAGCCAGGAGCAGATAGATAAATTGCAAAACTAGGAACGCTGAGTTATTTGGCCAGCCTCTGGCACGGCAGCTTGCAGTAATGTTGGGAAAAGGATTTATGCTGATCAAATACTTCTAATTTTAAGCAACTGGACAATACATCAGAGAGACAGCAGCCACTATTATAGTGTAGTCAGAACTGAAATTTAGTCGGGGGTCACAGACTTAAGGATACAGGGTAGGGTATTTGGGACTGAAATGAAGAGAAATGTCTTCACCCAGAGAGTGGTAAGCCTGTGGAATTCTCTATCACAAAAGCAGTTGAGGTTAAAACGTTCGCTGTTTTCAAGAAGATGAAGGGGTGGCACTGCTGCCTCACAGCGCCAAGGACCTGGGTTCGATTCCACCCTCGGGTGACTGTCTGTGTGGAGTTTGCACATTCTCCCCGTGTCTGTGTGGGTTTCCTCCAGGTGCTCCGGTTTCCTCCCATGGTCCAAAGATGTGCAGGTTAGGTGGATTGGCCATGCTAAATTGCCTGTAGTGTCAGGGATGTGTAGATTAGGTGGGTTATAGGGGGATGGGTCTGGGTGGGATGCTGTGAGGTTTGGTGTGGACTTGTTGGGCCAAAGGGCCTGTTTCCACACTGGAGGGATTCTATGATATAGTCTTTAGCACTAAGGGATCAAAGGGTATGGAGAGTAAGTGGGAACAATATACTGAGTTGGATGGTCAGCCACCATGCCATTAAATGATGGAGTAGACTTGAAGGACCAAATGGCCTACTCCTGTTTCTCTGTGATAAACCAATATTCTGAATTGGTAAACCCAGATTAGCAGAATCTGTATTTAAAACAGAAAATATGAGAAATTCAGCAGGTCTTGTGGCATCTATAGAGAGACAGAAACAATTACTGTGTATGCCACTACTTTAGAACTTGGATAAGCTTGTCATATCATTGTGCCAACTAATCAGATCAGACTGTGAAATCATGGCGCAATGAGTAAGTCATTTAACATAATGATCTCCCTGTGAAAGGATTGTCCAGCAGCCACATCCATGAAGAAGATATGGAAGATGGTGACAAAAGCCACAGTGCCAACTGCATCAATCATGCTTGAGATCCAGAGAATGGGGGAGGAGCAGCGGGGGACAGGGGTGAGGCCACCTTACCCCTTTTACCTCTTTTCACTCAGTTGCAAGAGCCTGATATGCAGAGGTCAGCAACACTGTTCACTGCACAACAGAACTGATAGATAAGGCAATTACAGATGTGGTTGGTTCTTCAACTGAGGAGTTCAATGACCCTGAAGACTGCACTGAATACTCATCCAGCCACTTGTCTCTGTAATTTAAGCCACATAGGCTACAGTGATACTGCAAAACGAAAATATCAATTGTGTTGATGATATGGCAGATAGTATTACGCATGACTTGAAGCAGTATAGTAAGGAGAAAAAAGTTAATTATTGAGCTAAACTGACATTTTACAATGCCTTTCACAAGGTTATTCTCCTTTGAAATCATCTTAGGAAGGTTTTTTTTGTTAGTCCATAGAAATTGCTGTATATTGAAGGAGGGATATTCTCATTGGCTGGGATTAGCCTGACTCACCAGCTGGGAAATTAGAACAAGCCCCCACCAGCCCTGGAAGCGATATTCCATTTTACTTTGCATAGGTAATTAGGTGCCTGCAGCAAAAACAAAATGCTGCGGAAACCGTAGGCCTGCAACTTCTGGAGAGAAAAGCAGAGTTGATGTTTTATGTCCAATGACCCTTTGTCTTTATGGTGACGTGCCCAATAGTTTTTGGTAAAATACCAGTGCCACAGGCAAAAGTGACCAATGATAGGTCACAAGCAATAGAAGGTGATGGATCAAGCAACCCTAGGCCAAGAAAAATAAAATGCTACCCACTGTCTCTACTCATGCTTCGACTGCAATATCCGAGTTATTGAACAGCCACACCAGGTCCCAGAAGCTATTTTACCGGCCCATAACTGTTTCTCTTGAAGCTGCTAATGCTTTTCTAGTGGAGCTGGAGGAACACAGCAGGCCAGGCAGCATCAGAGGAGCAGGAAAACTGATGTTTTGGGTCGGGACCCTTCTTCAGAAGTGGGGGAAGGGAAGGGGGCTCTGAAATAAATAGAGAGGGGGGAGGCGGTGATAGAAGGTAGATAGTGGAGGGGATAGATGGGAGAGAAGACGGACAGGTCAAGGAGGCGAGAATGAAGCTAGTAAAGGTGAGTGTAGCTAGGTGGTGGTGGGGATTGGTCAGTGAGGTGGGAGGTGCAGATAGGTGGGAGAGAAGACGGACAGGTCAAAGAGGGGGGGAGCTGGTCTTGAGATGAGGTCGGGGGTGGGGAGATTTTGAAGCTAATAAAGTCCACATTGAGACCATTGGGTTGTAGGCTCCTAAGGCAGAATATGAGGTGCTGCTCCTCCAGTTTCCAGGTGGCATCATTTTGACACTGGAGGAGGCCCAGGATGGACATGTCATCCAGGGAGTGGGAGGGGGAGTTGAAGTGGTTCGTGACTGGGAGTGTTGTCGTTTGTCGCGAACTGAGCATGGGTGTTCTACAAAGCGATCTCCGAGCCTCTGCTTGGTCTCATGATGTAGAGGAGGCCACATCGGGAACAGCGGATACAATAGACCACATTAGTGGATGTGCAGGTGAACATCTATTTGATATGGAAGATTTTTTTGGGGCCTGGGATGGAGGTGAGGTGTAAGGTGTAGGAGCAGGTATAGCACCTCCTGCGGTTGCAGGGAAAGGTGCTGGGGGTGGTGGGGCTAGTGGGGAATGTGGAGCAGACAAGGGAGTCGTGGAGAGAGCGGCCCCTCCGGAAGGCAGATAAGTGTGGGGAGGGAAATATATCCTTCATAGTGGGGTCAGATTGCGGGTGGCAGAGAATGATGCGTTGAATCCGAAGGTTCATGGGGTGATACATGAGGACAAGGGGAATTCTGTCTTTGTTTTTATTGCGGGAAGCGGGTGTGAGGACTGAGGTGTGGGAAATGCAAGAGATGCAGTTGAGGGTGTTTTTGACCACTGACGGGGTCGGGGGTGAAGTTGCAGTCCTTGAAATACGAGGACATCTGAGATTTTCGAAAGTGGAATGCCTCATCTTGGGAGCAGATGCAGAGGAATTGTGCGTAGGGGATCGCATTTTTGCAGGAAGGTGGGTGGGAGTTGGTGGCCTTGAAATAGATATCAGTTTCAAGATGGTCACCAGAAATGGAGACAGAGAGGTCCAGGAAGGAGAGAGAGAGAGGTATCAGAGATGGTCTGGGTAAACTTGAGGTTGGGGTTCACCTTGTCCTCACATATCACCCCATGAACCTCCAGATTCAACACACAATTCTGCACTACCTGCAATCTGATCCCACTACAAAGGATATATTTCCCTGCCCACCTTTATCCGCCTTCCAGAGGGACTGCTGTCTCCATGACTCCCTCGTCTGATCCACACTCGCGAACCACTTCAACTCCCCCTCCCACTCCCTGGACAACATGTCCATCCTGGGCCTCCTCCATTGTCACAACGATGCCACCTGGAAACTGGAGGAGTAGCACCTCATATTCTGCCTTAGAAGCCTACAACCCAATGGTCTCAATGTGGACTTTACTAGCTTCAAAATCTCCCCAGCTCCCCCCTCATCTCCGCCTCTTTGACCTGTCTGTATTCACTCCCACCTATCTGCTCCTCCCACTTCACTGACCAATCCCCACCACCTAGCTACACTCACCTTTACTAGCTTCATCCCCACTTCCTTGACCTGTCCGTCTTCTCTCCCACCTATCCGCTCCACTATCTACCTGCTATCACCGCGCCCCCTCTCTATTTATTTCAGAGCCCCCTTCCCCTCCACCACTTCTGATGAAGGGTCCCGACCCAAAACGTCTGCTTTCTTGCTTCTCTAATGCTGCCTGGCCTGCTTAATTATTCCAGCTCCACACTGTGTTATCTCAGACTCCAGCATCAGCAGTTCTTACTGTCTCTAATGCTTTTCTAGCCTGCTGCAACTTGTACAAAAGATATTATCCCAATGTAGTCAGATAGTGAAATCCTAGATTTTGACACCATGCCAAAAGACCAGTTAAATTTTCAGAACAATATGGGAAACACTCAGAACAAACTTGTCAGTGTTGTCAAAAGTATCATTGGAAACTGTCACTGGAATAATATTAGACAGACATAAGACAAGATAATCATTTAGATGTTTTGCTTTTTTTTTTTATTAAGTTTTACATTGACGTGAAATTATGCGTACAGCCTTAAAATGAGGCATTTGACTTTATCGGTTGGCGCCTCTCAACCCACCGAACCAAGCAACACAGACAACCTGAAGCGAAAAAATAAACTAAAAAAACAAACTAAAATAGAAAAAGTAATCATTTTTGTCTTTGCTTTGCTTTGGTTGTGTGGTCATTTGTTTCGTTGCTTTGAGAGCTCTATTCCAAGGCCGACGAATCAGACAATTTCTCATCGTCTTCAACTGCCCGCCCTCAGCATTCCAGATGGATCCAATCTAGATGCTCATCTCTGGACATTCCATTCTGCACACTTGCATCAAAGATGCTAGCGTTCCCTGCCGCTGGAAGCAGGGCTATTTTTGTCCTGCCAAGGAAAAATCTATTAGAATGAAGAATGTCATACGAATGACATGAAGTTGTCCCATCACAGATCCAGATTAGAGTAACCTGCCTCATCATTTCCTGAGACCAGGTTCTGCAGTATTTCTTCTGGAAACCTGAAGGTCAACTCTTAATCCACCAGCTCATCTACTTAATTTTGATCAACTCTTGATCCCAACAGTAAAGACTAAGTTATGTTGACTAAGTGCCTACTCATTTTTAGAATGGTAAATAAAAAAATTATAGCAGACGATTGGATTGGTTGATCTCATTCAGAGGTTGATAGTTCTAGCCCAGTGGGAATCTTTGACAGGTCAGAGAATTTTACATCCATGTCAACCCAACTCTGCCTGCCTCCAGGCAGCCAAATAAACCACACCATGCCCCAGGCTGAGCTGCACAGTTATATCCTGTATAATCTTTGATCTTCAGCCCATTCCTGTAAACTACATTTCCTCAACAAAGTGGAAAATGAATAATTTCAAAAAAAAAACTAGGATGGGCATTGGAGGAAAAGAAACATGCAAGTCTGTAGGCTCCCTTTTACTAGGGCTCAGCTCCTTTTCATTGGGAGCAAACAGAGTGTAACTTAAGCTTTGTACTAGCAAAGAACAGTGGAATTATGGATGTGGAGAACTATAACATATTGTCCAGAACATGTAATTCATTAGTAATGAGTTCCATTACCAGTAAAAAGTAACATTCCACTGTTATGACAAACCTTTTGAATGTTTGGCTAAATACAAAACATAAGGATTCTGTAAGTGTTCTCCATAATCCTGCTCATTTTCAGATCTAAATGTACATCCCAGGTCCCAATACCAAATCTTCCTTTAAAACTATCAGTTAATTTTGCATTTCATTGTTCTATCAAAACTAGTCACATCTTGAAGCTTATCCAAAATAAGAAAGATTGTTATGGTCTGCAACTTTCCCACCAACCTTCACAACGTGCCACTTGTACAGCTGATAAAGTACTCACCATAAAACTACAAAAGTTAACTACTGCAAGCAAGAACAAGTGGGTCACCAAATGGCATCCCTAGGGAGGAGAAAAACGAAAACAAGAACTGTTAAGATTAATTGTATCAGAGATAGTAGGAACTGCAGATGCTGGAAAATCATAGGAGCTGCTTGGGCTGCTGTGTTCATCCAGCTCTACACCTTGTTATCATTGTCAAGATTAAAATGGTTAGCAATTCGTTTATATAGCATCTTTCAAGGTTAATGTGATAGAAAACAATTCAGTTATTTGGATACAGGTAGTTGTAAAGATTGCGCCCCAAACAGTTAAGTAGTGTATTTTAGGCATTAACGTAATAGTTTACCGTAACAGTGCAAGTACTTGTGTGAATAGCACCAAAAGAACTCTTACAGCCACCCGAGGATGCTGACAGAACTTGCACAGCAACCTTTCGAAACTGCAGTGGGGTGCAATCGTAGGCTCGGTGTTCCAATCTCTGGAGAGGAAGTTAAACCCGAGTTCGAACACAGGAAAGACTACTACTTAGATTCCTTTAACCTAGAATCAAATTAATGATTGGGGTCGTAGCTTCACTAGAATAATTCCTTAACTTTTGATATGGGGGGGGGGGGGGGGGACATGAAATGATTACAGCTTTTTAAAGCAAAAACACCAGAGGCACCATGTGATCTTCAATGAGATCGGGGTGGGCTGTTGATTTGTTCGAGTGTGAGGCACCGATCGATGGTTTAACGTTAGGATGTACGAACACACTAAGTGAACCCCGTTTCCCCCCCGGGGTGAAAGGCTGGAACTGAAAGGGTAGGGAAGTCAGGAGGCGTTTCTCAGAAGAAAATTCTAGGTCAGTTTACTGTTGATGGTAGTTTCAGGAATCGCCCCAGTTTTGTTTTGATTCGGTTAACGCATCACAGGAATAACAGACAGCGGCTCTGCAAGCCTCGAACGACTCTTCAGATGGAAGAGAAATAGAAAACAAAAGACCGAAAGAGTGCAATGACTCTTTCGGGATTTCTGTCGAAGTTAGTTATCGGGGAGAAAATAAAACGCGCGAGTCCGAGGTCGTGGAAACGACACGAAAAATAAAAGAGATCGAATTAGAACACAGGGGTCGGGAAAGCTCTTACCTTAGAGAAAAGGGAGAAAGGTAGAGACCAATCTCCTCCGGTCCGGGCAGCGCCCAACCGGAAAAAGAACAAACATTGCAGAGAGCAGCCTCTTGTAGTCCCTTCTGATCCAATCACTGAGACCTGGGAAGCCACCTCCCTAGTCTCCACTTCCTGGAGCGCTTAACATCCTGAATCGTTGGACAACAACGAATGATTCACATTATTTACATAGAACAAAAACAGAAGTTGTTGGAGAAGCTCAGCGGGTCTGGCAGCACCTGCGCAGAGAAGGCAGAGTTAACCTTTCGAATATCTTTCTTCTCAGAATTTATGTAGCTTCTTTGCAGTGAGAGCTGTTGTGGTGTAATGATAATCTTCCTACTACTGAGCCGGGAGGGCTTAGGCTCAATTCCCACCTTTTTCAGGGTTGCACAATAGCAGGTCTGAACAGACTGATTACAAAATACCAGCCTCTTCTGGAAAAAAAAATGGTACCAATAAAGAGCAAAAATCTTTAGGGAAAGAATTGCAGAGTTTAGTTTGACTTTTTATAAAATCAGCTTGGATGGCAAAATCAGCAATTGTTGCCTATCCCTAACTGCCTTTGAGAAGGTTTTTCTTGGGGGTTACTTGGGGCCATAACAACCAAATGCACAGCTGTCAGTGATGGAACATTACAAATTAAGAGTACACAGAGTCCAGAACTGGAGGGCTGCGGTAAATCTTGGAGGGTTGTCAAGCCGGAGGAGATTATAGCAATAACTAGGCTAAGGGTGAGACCATGAGCAAGCAGTGTCAGCATAATTGTATCTCTTCCTAACATTTTTTAGCATTAAATTGGAGAATTTGAGGTGTTACTGTAACCTTAAATAACTCCTTTATCGCCCCAATTCCCACCACCCATATCACTCTACCACCATGGTGAGAAGTCAATCTGATCCAACTGGCTGGTATTTTTACATAGCACATGCTTCTTGTCAAGGGGAGATCATGCCTGATGAATCTGTTAGAATTCTCAGAGGAGGTAACAAGCAAGTTAAGCAAAGAGCAGCCTGTGGACATGATCTATTTGGGTTTCCAGAAGGCTATTGACAAGGTGCTACACAGGAGGCTGCTAAATAAGGTAAGAGCCCATGGTGTTAGGGGGCAAGATACTGGCATGGGTAGAGGATTGGCTGACTGACTGGCTGAAGGCAGAGAGTAGGGATAAAGGGTCTTTTTCAGCAAGGGCAGCCAGTGATTAATGGAGTTCCATAGGGGTCAGTGTTGGGACCACAACTATTCACATTATACATTAATGATCTGGACGATGGAACTGAGAACATTGTTGCTACGTTTGCAGAAGACACAAAGATAGATGGAGGAACAGCCAGTGTTGAGGATGGGGGAAAGCTGAAGAAGGACTTGGACAGGCTGAGAGAGTGGGCGAAGGAATGGCAAATGGAATACAATGTGGGAAAGTGTGAGGTTATGCATTTTCGTAGGAAACATAGAGGCATAGACTATTTTCTAAATGAGAAAGGCTTCAAAAATCTGAAGCACAAAGGGACTCAGGAGTCCTAGTTCAGGATTCTGTTAAGGTTAGCATGCAGGTTCACCTAGCAGTTAGGAAGGCAAATGCAATGTTAGTATTCATTCCAAGAGGGCTAGAATACAAGAGTAGTGATGTACTGCTGAGGCTGTATAAGGCTGTAGTCAAACCGTGTTTGGAATATTATGAGCGGTATTCGGCCCTGTATCTCAGGAAGGATGTGCTGATGTTGGAGAGGGTCCAAAGGAGGTTTACAAAAATAACCCCAAGCATGTCATATGAGGGGGAGGTGAGGACTCTAGTCTGTACTTGATGGAGTTTAGAAGGATAAGGGGTGGAACTAATTGAAATATACAAAATACTGAGAGGCCTGGATAGAGTGTATGTGGCGAAGATGTTTCCATTAGTATAAGAGAATGAGCACAGGCTCAGGATGAAGAGATAGCCCTTTTGAACTGAGATGAGAAGGAATTTCTTCAGCCTGGTGGTGACTCTGTGGAACTCATTGCCACAGAGGGCTATGGAGGCCAAATCATTGAGTGTATTTAAGACAGAGATAGATAGGTAAGGGGATCAAAGGTAATGGGGAGAATGGAGTTGAGAAGCGTATCTTCCATGATTGATTAACAGAGCAGACTCGATGGCCAAAAAGGCCTAATTCTGCTCCTATATCTTACGGTCCAAAAGTACATTAAAAAATGATTTAAACCAAATGGTCATCAATCAGGATATTAAACAACTTAATGGGCCAAGAAGATTTTGTTGAATGGAAAATTGTAAAAGTTGGTTGCAGTGCAATTTGCAGCAGCGAGGGAAGTTGGCAGGCAATCAGGGAATAATAATGACAGATGCAGAAGAAAAGGGAAGTAGAACACAAAAACAAAGTTAGAAATAATAGGAACTACCGATGCTGTAGTCTGAGATAACAAGGTGTGGAGCTGGAAGAACACAGCAGGCCGGGCAGCATTAGGGGATCAGGAAAGTTGACGTTTCGGGTCTGGACCCTTCTTCAGAAAGAGTTCTGAGGAAGGGTCACCAGACCCAAAACATTAGCTCTGTTTTTTCCTTCACAGATGTTGCCAGACCTGCTGAGCTTTTCCAGCAACTTTGTTTTAGTTCCTGATTTACAGCATCCACAGTTCTTTGGGTTTTTATGAAGTAGAACACAATATTTACAAAATAAAGTCTTGATGAAGAGTCACCAAACTCCAAATGTTAACTCTGCCTTCTTCCCACCGATGTGCCAGCCCTGCTGAATTCCATCAGCAATTTCTGTTTTTGTTTCAGATCTCTAGCAAACGCTGTTCCTTGTGTTTTTTTAAAAAATCAACATGTTCAGGCATGTTATGACAGACCTTTGGAAAACTTGAACCTAGCCCTTCTAGCTTAGTGGCACAGAACCAGTGGAACAAGTTTAGCTGGATAAATAAATCAGGGTCAGCTGCCACTCCTTGCTTTCGTTTGTTTTAAAAGAAGCGAGTTTATTTAACTGCTGGTACGAGCAATTTAGTGATGGTTAAAAAAAAAAGTCCAGTGGGATATAGAAACATCTATTGACTAAACAAAAAGAAAAAAAGAAACAAAAGGAAGATGGGGCTCTCATGATGCAGTGGTAGTGTTCCCACCTCTGAGCTCAGTAGGCCTCAGTTCAAGTTCCACTTGCTCCAGTTTTAAAGGTATTATTAATTGATCTGAACAGATTAATTTAAAATATCTTTAAATAAGGGAAAGTAGAAGTAGAAACCAAAGCAAGGAGAAAGAAGGTGCCTACAAAAATGTATAAACAGTAACATAATTGAGAAGAGTGTAGAGAGAACAGGAATTTGATGGAAGAAAAATAGTGCAGCAAACTAACAACTTGTTGGAATGCCTTGGCGTGTGAGGAATGTTAAATCTAGTTAATGCACAGCAAGCACAATTTTCAGTAAGAATATGATATAGTTCCTATAGCAGAGATCAGGTTTAAACATTAGCAAGAATGGGAATTAAACACTTATAGAGTGGCTACTACAAAAAAGAGACCATTTAGCCTGTCTTCTTGGCTGGCCAGCAGCATTCCCCTACCTTGTTCGCATGGTTTTGCAATTGTTTCCTTTATAAGTAAAGATTGCTTCAGTTTATTCTGTGTCTATGCCTGACATCAATAAGGCTTAATATTCTGAATGTTGAAGTCGGTCAGAGGCCAGAGTAAGTAAGAAATTAATTACCTTGCCCTTTTGAGAAATGGCCAAAATCTGTTTGTGTGAATTTTGACAAGACACATCTTGAAATGTTGTATAACAAAAAGTTATAAAATGAATTTCCTGTCTTTTATCTAATTTCTGACCATTCTTGGTTGTTATATCTTAATGAGGGAGAGGGAAGGGAAGACCTACAGGAGTAATGACATATGGGAATACTAATCAAGAATTATATTGCATCTAAGGATAGATGATATACGAGAGGGTTCAAAGTATGTGTTTGGTTAGAATTAAGGAACAGAAAAGCAACAGAAAACAGTCATTACATTGCTGTTCTTTTGTCAATAACAAATAATGAGGAGTAAATCTGTGAAAATTTTAGAAAAAGTCAAAACAATAGAGCTGTCAGGAAATTCAGTTGCCCTAATATAGGGGAAATGGTGACATTGTGGTAATGTCACTGGAGTAGTAATCCAAAGACCCATTCTAAGGTTCTGGGGAAAGTGAATTGAAATCTGGAATTAAAAGCTATCTTAAAGGCAACCTTGTTTCTCTCTCTTTGCTAATTCTAGAAAAAACTCATTTAGTTTATTTAGGGAAAGAAGTCTGCCATCCTTACCTGGTGTGGCATACGTGACTCCGGATCCATAGCAATGTGGATGACTTTTAACTGCCTCTGAAATGACATGCAAGCCCAATTCAAGGGTTTGGCAAATTGGGATGGGTTAGCCCAGCCACATCCTATGAATGAGTATAAAAAATATGGATCAGGAAGAAAAGTGTGAAGTGTGATGAATTCCTAAACGATGCACAGCAGAACCTCCTGAGGCAGTGTGTTTCTAACCTGAGAGAATGGAAGCAGAGTTGGATTTATTCCAGGAATATGAATGTTGAAGATGCAATGGGACTACATCAGGGTAATCATAATCATAATATAAATAGGTTTAAAGTACCTTACATACTTGTGTAACCCAAATATTGTCCTGCATTGTGTTACAACTTACATAGAAATTGACTTGTCAATGATTTAGGAATAGAAAACAATCACAACTGGGGACTGCCAGTAAGAGAATCAGCTATTATTGTGGTTTATTTCACATTCTAACCACTCAATGAAGAAAGAAGATTGTTCTGACTTCCCTATTAGATTATTTGGTGACCATATTAAATGGACCTCATACTTTGAACTACCCCACAAGTGGAAACATTTTCTCAATGTCTAACCTATCACGCCCTTTCATTATCTTAATGATCTTTATCAGGTCACTGTTCAGCCTTCTTTTTTCTAGACAAAAGAGCTAAGCCTGTTCAGCCATTGCTGATAGGGACCTAGGGGAGCAGATACATAATCATTTAAAGTTTGCATCACATATAGACAGGGCGGTTGTAAAGGCATTTAGCACTCTTGTCTTCATTGCTCAGTCTTTTGAGTATAGGAGTTGGGAAGTCATGTTGAGGTTGTACAGGACATTAGTGAGGCCTTTTCTGGCATATTGTGTCCAGTTCTGGTTGCCCAGTTTTAGGAAGGATATTATTAAGCTGGAGAGCGTTCAGAAGAGATTTACCAGGATGTTGCCAGGTATTGAAGGTTTGACTTATAATGATAGGCTGGGACATTTTTCACTGAAGCGTAGGAGGTTGAGGGGTGACCTGATAGAAGTTTATAACATAATGAGAGGTATAGATAGCATTAATGGTAATTGTCTTTTCCCTAGGACGACAGATTTCAAGACTAGGGGGCACATTTTTAAGGTGGGAGGAGAGAGATTTATAAAAGACATGAGAGGCAAATTATTTACAAAGAGGATGGTTCGCATGTGGAATGAACTTCCTGAAGAAGTGGTGGATGTAGGTACAATTATAATGTTTAAAAGTCATTTGGATAGGTACATGAATAGGAAAGGTTTGGAGAAATATGGGCCAGGAGCAGGTAGACAGGACTAGTTTAGTTTGGGATTATGTTTGGCATGGACTGGTTGGACCAAAGGGTCTGTTTCTGTGCTGTGAGTCTCTATGACTCTTTAACTCTATGACTCTTAGTTCTGGTATGATCCTATGAGAACTTTTCCTGCACCTTATCCAGTGCCTCTATATCCCTTATTGTAATCTGGAGACTTGAACTGCTCTAGTATTCACAGTACTCCAGATGTGATTGAACCATGCTTTGATACAAGTTGAACATAATTGCTTTCAATTCTGTCTCTAGAAGTTTATCTAAGTGCTTACCTCGCCTTTTCATTTACAGTCATGTTAACCTGTGATGCTATTATAAATGATTTGGAAATGTGTCCCTTGTTCATTTACCCTATTTACTCCTATTACTTAAGCTATGTTTTGACTCTTTTCACTTTATAACAAAACACAGCCTCACGCTTATATACGTTGAATGTGCCAATTGCTATAATTATGTCATTTTTTTGTTATGTTCTTACCTTGTGTTTACTGCATACCTCCAAATAGATGGCATCAGCAAATTTTGAAATTGGACCATCAGTTCCTGAGTCCAAATTATTAATGTAGACTGTGAATATTGGTGGTCCCTGTACTGAACACCACTTCCCATCTTTTGCCAAATTTGTTTTCTGAGTTTTAGCCAGCTATCTTTGCATTCTGATTTGTGTCCTGGTTCCACATGCTCAGAGTTTAGTCATTACATTCAAAACCATGTATTGCTGAGGAGCTGAGGCCATGACCTAGTGGTGTTATTGGTAGACAATTTATTCAGAGTCCTAGGAAATGTTCCAGGTTTGAATCATGGTGAAATTTGAGTTCACTAGTTAGTCTAATGTCCTTTGTGATTGTAACAAGGTCAGCCAGGTGGACATCATAAAATCATTTCCCTGATTGGGGTGGTTAATCTGGTCCAATCAAGGAGCTCTAGCTGACATTTGAGAACAGGAGTATCAAACATCCTGTTTATTCTGAGAGCTGGCCCTGAGGAAGTTGGATCAGTGTTAAGGACTCTCCGTGTGTTAATAAAGGATGACTTGGTGACAGGATACTGGCCTCCGTGAAGTTATTTCAGTGGTGAAGAGAGAAAAGCACACTCCTGAAGAAATTTGCTTAATACAATCATATTTGAGTTGAAGTAAGCATTTCTGGCATCATGCCATTGTTCACTTGAACAATTGCATATCCTGAACAGACGGACTCTAGGTTAGCCCACAGCAAAATCCCAAAACAAAGCCAAGCCACAGCGAAACGTTTAAAATTTTCTTCAGGACCCGGGCCAGCAAGCCATTGTAGTTGCAGTTGATGTGCAGACTCGAGACAGCAAAAGAGTCCCACCAGACCTAAATTGAGTAAGAGAACTCATTGGCTCGTATCCAGGAGAATGTACACCCTGGAAAGTCCACCTACATCTGGTTTGGAACAATTAAGTTGCTTAGCAACAACCAAATCGGAACCAGTCAAAAGAAACATCTGATTAAATGGCCACCCAGTTCTAATGGAGGTCAATACCAGTGTGGTTATTTCAGTGATTGCAGAACCAGTCTTTAACAAAATTCACTCTGGACTCCAACCCTTAAGTTCCTACAAGACCTCAGCTAGGCTGAGAATCTATATCGAGGAACAGTTACAGATTAAGGATACAACTTCGGTTCTGGTATCTTAGCAGAGAAGCAGCTGGTTGTTGCCACTGATTGAAGTAAAAGTCTTGGGGCTCAAGGTTACTAGAGTGAAATTGATTGAGAAAGATTCACCTTGATTGGCTCCACATTTTTTGATTAGTAAATGGCTGCCTGAGTGAAATCCTAATTAAATATCCGGACATTTTTTGGGAGGGTCTAGGGACTATCAAAGGAGCCAAGGCCACCTTGCATGTTGACCAGGCAGCAATTCCATGATTCTGCAAGGCCCACCCAAATGCCAAACTGGAGGCAGAACTGAAGAGGCTAGAAAAACAAATGAATCATCAAACCAGTCCAGTTTGCAGAATTGGCAGCACGAGTGGTACCGAGTACAAAGCCCAACAGGTTGGTTTGCCTTTGTGGGGATTTTAAACAAACAGGAAATTGGATAAATACCAAAGTCCTCATATAGCGAAGTTATACGCAAAGCTGACAGTTGGGTTGGGCTGTCCTTCACGAAGCTGAACATGAGCCATGCGTACTTGCAGTTATGGTTAGATGAAGATTCCCAGAAGTATGCTACAATTAATAACCACAAGGGCTTATGACTAATGTACCAATTTTGGGTATCATCAGCCTGTGGAATTTTTCAGCGGATGATGGAAAACATTTTACAAGTTCTACCCTAGGTCACCATTTATCCAGATGAAATGCTAATAAAAGGAAGACCAGTAAGAAGCACTTGGAGAACTTGGACACAGTCCTTAGACATTTCTGTCAGGTGGTTGTACGCCTTGGAAGGGAAAAATGTGTGTTACAGGCACCCTAAGTGACCTACTTGGACTAAAAAGTCAACAAGACCAGGTTACACACATTAGAAGATAAAGTGAGGGTGATCAAAGGTGCCTCTGCTACCAGAACTGTACCAGAGCGTAGGTCTTTCCTTTGGCTTTTGAATTATTACAGAGAGTCCATACGTAACCTGGCCTCCATCCTGGCACGTTTGCATTAACTCCTAAAAAAGGGTCAGCCTTGGAAATGGTCATGTAGGCAAGCCATCACTTTTTCAGGGAAGTGAAGAAACAGCTATCGTTCTTCAAGGTTTTGGCACATTATGATCCCAAGCAAGATCTGGTATTGACTTGCGATGCCTCCCCTTATGGCATCGGCGTAGTTTTAGCTCATAGGTGGCCCAATGGAGAGGAAAGCCTGATAGCATATGCATCCAGGACTTTGGCTAATGCAGAGAGTACATTTGCCCAGATAGAGAAGGAAGATTTGGCGGTCATATTTGGAGTCAGGAAGTTCCACCAATACCTTTACGGATGTAAATTTGTAATGATAACGGACCATAGACCCCCACTAGGTCAACTTAAAGAGGACAGAGGCATGCTGCCCATAGCTTCAGGCTGAATTCAGTGGTGGGTTCTAATACTAAGTGTGTGTAATTACAAGTTGTCCACTGTCCATGAGGCCAAGTAGTGAATGCGGATGTATTGAGTTGCCTCCTGCTGGCAGGTATACCACTGTTAGTACCGCCACTGGAAGTATCCATAATAGTTTTGAATTTTCTGGGAACTCTTCCAATCACGGCTGACAATATCAGACTTTGGATGTGGAAAGATCCAGTCCTGGCAAAATCGAGACAGCTGGTGGTGATGGGGGAAACCAAAGGACTGTCACAAGCAGAACTGAAGCCTTTATGGGCCCAGAGAGACAAGAGGACAGCATATTATTATGGGGAGTAAGAGTGATTGTCCCAAGCAAAGGTTGCTGCCAGATACTGGCTGAATGGCACCAGGGTCATCCAGGGGTTTCCAAAATGAAGATGTTGGTGAGAATTTGTCTGGTTACCAGTACTGGATGCAGATATTGCTGTATTAGTGGGGCAAGAGTGTCAACAAGGGCAGAAATTACCACCAGCAGCTCCCCCACATTTGTGGGAATGGCTGGGTAAACCCTGGGCTCAGTTATACATTGACTATACAGGTCCTTTCATGGGCTCAATGTTCTTAGTCTTGATGCCCACTCAAAATGGCTGATCTTTCATAGAGTTCATTCATCAAGCATGCGGACAACGATAGAAAAAGTGCACTCACCTTTTACAACACATGGGCTCCCGGAAGTGGTGGTCACAGATGAAGAGCCATCATTTACCAGCAGGAAATATGAGTATTTCCTAAAATCAAATGGTATTTGACATATAAAGACAGCTTCATACCATCTATCATCCAATGGTCTGGCAGAAAGAGCAGTCCAAGTTTTGAAGGCACGCTTAAAGAAACAGCTTACAGCTTCATTAAATACCAAACTGTCCCAATTCCTATTTGATTATAGGACCACCCCACATGCAACAACAGGGATAGCTCCAGCAAAGTTGCTAATGGGGAGAAGACTCCACGCCAGGTTAAACCTGACCTTCCCGGACCTGGGGGAGGAGGGTGAAACGGTGCCAGGAATGCCAATACCGGATACAAGACTCACTTAAGCGAGAGATACAGTATACTTCAGAAAAAAAAGTTTGGTGTAGGAACCACGGGAATGGCCCTACATGGGTAAAAGGCATGGTCAATGCGAGGGCAGGTCCAGTGATGTATAAAGTTCAGGTAGGTATGATGGTCTTGAACAAGCATGTGGACCATATCAAAGCTGTAAATTTGCAAATGGTGCGAGAGCAAAACGTGCCTGGCTCCTTGACAGCCTTTCCAACTGCTCCGGAACCCGTGAGTTCTCCCACTCGATTAATCATTGAAGATATCTTGGAATCTGAGATGGACACAGCAGATGTCGCTGACTCAATGCCTTTGCTGCTTGAAGAAGAGAATGAATTTCTTCCAAGACACTCCGGGTGCAAGAGGCAAGCTGCTGTGCATTACACACCGCCCGTGTGGGAGGCAGAGTTGGAGGAACCTGACCTGGTGCTAAAACAGCCCAGGAGGTGCTACAAATAAAAAAGAACTGGCCTATGTCCTCGGACTCAGAGGGGGAGGGTTGTAGTGATTATAACAAATCAATCAGGTGGACATTGTAGAATATGAGATTCCTGATTGGGGCTGTAAATCCGGTCCAATGAAGGAGCGCAGGCTGACAGGTATAAACTGAAGGACATCCTGTTCACTCTGAGAGCTGGCTCTGAGGGCATTAGATTAACGTCAAGGACTCTAAATAAAGAGTGACTTGATGACAGGATACTGGCCTCTGTGGAGTTATTTCAATGATGACCATGAAATCGTTGTTGATTATTGGGAAAAACCCACTGGGTTCACTTATGTCCTCTACGGAAAGAAACTGCTGTCCTTATTTGGTCTGACTTATGCATGTCTCCAGATCCATTGCAAGGTGGCTGACTCTTAAGTGACTTCTGGGCAACTAGGGCTGGGCAATTAATGCTGGCCTAGCCTGTGAAGCCCACATCGCATGAATGAATCAAAAAATATCATCAGGCATGGGAAGAACCAATTAGCTTTAAGTAAGATGCAGTTCAGGATTCTGGAAATGTACTAGCATTCATTTTGGGAGAGCAAGTAACTCAATTTTTAAAATAAATAATATTATGGGTTGTTTTATTTAGAATGTTGTTTATTATTTTAGAGTACTGTGGAGTGCCTCAGCTGAATTGGACTTTATGTTCTGTTGAGCATCCTCTTAATTTGTTATAGACATGATGATGTCTCTACTATTTATAGCCTAACTTCGGACTGTATGGTGACACCACACCCATAGTGTTGTTGGGAGGTTATTCAGATATTGATCCAGTGGTGATGACAGATTAGCCAATGGTGTTTTGTAAATGTGGTGAGTGACTATCCAGGCAACATGAAGTAGTGGTATTGAAAATGTGACTGGAACATTGAATTTTTGACTTATCTAAATTACTAATAAGAAATGATTACAATGGTGACATAAAGGTACAAGACAACTGATACTCATTGAAGGTTTTGTTGTTTTTATTGGGAGTTGTTTTTCCCTGCTGAGCACTCCCGGTCTCAGCTAACCAAGCAACGCAGACAACCAAAAGCAAAGAAAACAAATAAAAGAAATAATTGAAAATATTTCATACATTTCATTTGTTTTGCTTCAAGTTGCACAGATATTAATTTCTTTGTTTTTGTTTCTTACGCAGGTTGCATGCTGGTTTGTTGTGTTGCTTGTAAGTTCAAAGTTCTTGTTTAGTCAGTTATTTTCTCAGCTGCATCAAAGCCAACAGAAGAGGCAACTTCTCAGTGCCTTCAATCGCTTGTCTTCAATGCTTTCACTTTCCAGATATATCCAATCAATCTCCATTTCACTGTTCTGCACACTAGTGCACTGGCACACTAGTGTCCCTGCCTTGGACAGGAATTCTGCTCTCCTCCTGCCAAGAAATGACATCAATATCATGTAATGATAACATGCTATTCAGTCCATTAAATTTGCACTTTCCATAGACTATGGACAAGCTATCATACGAGGACAGATTTTACATTAATGCCTGATGCCAAAAGCCAGGACCAGTTTAGAATTCAGTGAAGAAGGACCAAGGGATTGATTAAGAACAGGAAAATACAGTACAAAAGTAAGCTCGCAGGGAAAATAAGGACTGATACCAAGAATTTCTGTAGGTATGTGAAAAGAAGGAGATTAATGAAGACAAATGTAAGTCCTCTACAGACAGAAACAGGGGAATGTATAATAGGGGTCAAAGAAATGGCTGAGAAACTGAACACAAGCTTTCGTTCTGTTTTCACAAAACAGGACACAATCAGATACCAGGAATGTTGGGGAATGCAGGATTTAGAGAGAGAAGAATTGAGGGAGATCAATATTAATTTAAAGTTTTGGCAAAGATCTGTAGCTCGGGTTGTGGATGAGGTTGTTGACTTGCTCGCCGAGCTGGCTTGTTTTTGTTCAGACATTTTGTCACCATGCTAGGTGACACCATCATTTCCACTGATGATGTCACCTAGCATGGTGACGAAATGTCTGAACAAAAACAAGCCAGCTCGGTGAGCAAGTCAACAACCTCATCAATATTAGTAGATAAATGGTGCTGGGAAAATTGATCGGATCAAAGGTGGATAAATTCTTAGGGCCTGATAATCTACATCCCAGAGTACTTAAGGAAGTGGCTGTAGAAATAGTGCATGCATTGGTGGTCATCTTCCAGGATTCTATTGACTCTGGAACAGTCCCTGCAGATTTGAGGGTAGCTAATGTCACTCCAATATTCAAAAAGGGAGGTAGAGAGAAAACAAGGAATTATAGAGCAGTAAGCTTAACATCTGTAGTGGGGAAAATTCTCGAATCCATTATCAAGGATTTTACAGCAGATTATTTGGAAGCAGTGGCAGGATCAGACAGAGTCTGCATGGATTTACGAAGGGAAAATCATGCTTGACAAATCTGTTGGAATTCTACAAAGATGTAGCTAGTAGAGTTGACAACAGGGAACCAGTTGATGTGGTATATTTGGACTTTAAGAAAGCGTTTGACAATGTCCACAGAAGAGACAATTAAAGCGCATGGGATTGGAGGAAGTGTATTGAGATGGATAGAAAACTGGTTGGCAGAGAGAAAACAGAGTAGGAATTAATGGGTTCTTTTCAAATGGGCAGGCAACAATTAGTGGGGTGCTACAGGCATTGGTGCTGGGACCTAGGCTATTCACATCATATGTTAATGATTTGGATGAGAGAACAAAATGTAATGTCACAAAGTTTGCAGATGATACCAAGTTGCGTGGGAGGGTGAACTGTGATAAAGATGCAGAGTTCCTTCAGCATGATCTCAACAGGTTGGGTGAGTGGGCAAATCAATGGGAGATGCAGTATAATGTGGATAAATGTGAGGCTATTCACTTTGGAAGCAAAAACAAGAAGGTAGATTACTACCTGAATAGCTGTAAATTGGGAGAGGGGAATGTGCAGCGGGACCTGGGTGTCCTTGTGCACCAGTCACTGAAGGTAAGCATGCAGGTGCAGCAGGCGGTAAAGAAGGCAAATGATATGTTAGACTTCATTGCGAGAGGTTTTGAGTACGGGAGCAGGGATGGTGTTGTTGCAGTTATACAGAGCCTTGGTGAGGCCACACCTAGAATATTGCGTTTTAGTCTCCTTTTCTGAGGAAGGATGCTCTTGCTCTTGGGGGATTGCAGCGAAGACTTACCAGGCTGATTCCGGGGATGACATATGAGGAGAGATTGACTAGGTTTGGATTGTTCTTGCTGGAGTTCAAATGAATCAGGGGAGGATCTTATAGATGCTTATAAAATTCTAACAGGACTAGACAGGGTAGATGCAAGGAGGATGTTCCCGATGGTGGGTGTGTTCAGAACCATGGGTCACAGTTTAACGATTTGGGGTGGACCATTTAGGACAGAAATGAGGAGACGTTTCTTCACCCAAGGAGTGGTGAGCCTGTGGAATTCATTACCACAGGAAGTAGTTGATGCCAAAACATTGGATGAATTCAAGAGGCAACTAGATATAGCACTTGGGGTGAATGGGATCAAAGGTTATGGGGAGAAATCAGGATTGGGCTGTTGAGTTGGACGATCAGCCATGATCGTGATGACTGGTGGAGCAGGCTTGAAGGGCCAAATGGCCTCCTCCTGCTCCTATCTTCCATGTTTCTACAATTTATTCTTTCCTATATCTCAACTAATTAACTTTTGTCTCTTATTGTCCACGGATATTTGTTCACCACCCCTGTTAGCAAAGACACCATTGCATTTCTAGAGGGTATGATCATTTTAGTCTGCATTATTCCTATAATCTCCAATCTCAAACTTAACCAAGCACATAAGTTTCCCAGTTCATTCCCGGAAGTCCTAATAGTTGCTAATCTCATCCCTGATCAATCCTAATATTCTCTAACTTGCACTTCTAACCTTTTTTTAATGGCCGTATTTCATTATTAAACAATCCCAATTGTCTCCAATCTCATTCCCACCCAGATACTTCAACACCTTTCAGGAATCTCGCTTGTATGGTTGTCAGCCCAATGTCCCTGTCCTCTCGGTCATACCGTATCATGTCCCCACCACCACTCCTACCCCTATCACCTCATTCCCACCATCCCAAGATACCCAAACTACAAGACCTTGTGGAACCTTTGGTTTTCTGCATTTGTATCC